TACTCAAGGGAGGGGATGGGTGCTCCTGAATAGCACCGTGGAAGAGTTGGATATTTGGGCCTTCATCAATCCCCAGCCCCCTGGGACTAGCTGGGTATTAATTCTTCTAAAAGAGATGATTAACACACATGTTACATTGTTGGGACTTCAATCAATGTGTATGAATTATTAAATGGGTCAAATGTGTATGAATTATTAAATGGAAAATCAATCTCTGAAAGCCTGCACCTAATTCAGTTACAAACCATCTATTTGTTCTTAAGATAAAACCCTCCAAGACACCATCTTACAATTAGTAATCAGTCCTCTTAAAGTCTGCTTTATGTATGTCATGGGTAAGCTTCAAAAAGTCTGTGGAAAATTGGAATGAAAATATGATGGAATTCCCCCCAATTTTTTTTGAAATGTACACACACACACCTCAAAAAGACTGTATATATAATTTTGTATGTTTTAATTCCACTTCCCCATGAATTTTTGGAAGTCCCTGGATGTATGCAGCCCTGGGTGCTGCAAATGATTAACATGTGCAGCTGCTAATCAAAAAGGCTGGGCATCTGAACCTGCCCGGAGGTGTCTCAGAAGAAAGACCTGGCAGTCAGTCTACTGAAGCCAAAAAGCCTGGGAAAATCCGACGGAGCGCAAGTCCACTCTGGCCTACAGGGGGTCTCCTGGAGCGAGAGTCAACTTGATAGCAACTCAAAAAAATACGTATGATCTGCACATGTCTCTGCAGTATAGAAATTCTGTATTTTTTAGTCCCACATAGATTTCCATTTTAAACCTTTTTCTGGGCTTCGGTTTTTTTAATTCAATGCCTTTCTTTCTTTCTTTTTTTGTATCTGTTAAGGTTTTTCTTACTGGCATGAGCCTTTTGCATTTTATATTACATGTTATCTAAGATCTCGTTAATTTTGAACTCAATCTTACAGGAGAAGAGCCTGGTGGCCCAGTGGCTCAGTACCTGGCAGCGAACGGAAAGGCTGGCCATTTGAAGCCACCGGCCGCTGGTGGGAGAGAGCCGTGGCAGCCTGCTTCTGAGAAGACGACAGCGCGCGGAAACCCCGCGGGGAAGTTCTACTCTGCCCCGAAAGTGGCACGGGGTTAAAAGGGACTTGAAGGCCACGGGTTTAGGTTTATTCCTACGGACATTTTAATTTATTTTCCTTTAGAACCACCACCACCACACCACCAAAATCACGATAGGTAGAGACAAAACAATTGTGAAAGAGCCACACGGAAAAAGCAGGGGAAGGTGGAGAGCTTCTGCAACCAACATCATGTTTGGCTTCTCCAAGGAGGTTCCCTGCCTGTCTGCAATTGGAAACCATAAGCCCAGGCCTCCAAACCCTCCTTACACTAGAAACATGCTATAGGATTCCTCTTATCATCCAGTCTTGATAAATTTCATGTAAATAACAATAAACAAAAATCAGATGGCCATCTTGAAACTATACCTTTTTGGGGACTGGAATCATCTTAAAGATTTTTTTTAATATAAATTTTATTTTATTGGGGGCTCCTACAGCTCTTATCACAATCCAAACAAATATCCATTTTGTCAAACACGTCTGTACATATGTTGTCATCATCTTTTTCAAAACATTTTCTTTCTACTTGAGCCTCTGGCATCAGCTCATTTTTGCCTCCC